TCGTCGTTCCGCGCTGGAACGCCGCTCCAGCGGCGCACCGTGTGCCCGTTGATCTGCGCCGCCATGGCATTTTGAAACGCCAAGCAAACGAACTGAACGCCGTGCTCCCGGTGCCCGGAAATCCGCGCACTACGTCCAGCAGAGGCCCCCCGGAATTATGGTTGACGTTGCCCTGTTGCTTCTCAAGCCATTCCACCTTCAAACGTCGAACGAAGTGCTCGAGAAACTCACGCTGTTTCTCGTTCGGCATCCTCGAGCTCGCCATGATGGAAGCCAACGCTTTGTCAATGCTGGTATGGCCATCTCCTGCAGGGTTGAACGAAGCCGCAGCATCTCGCTTCTCGTCGAAAGGAGCCTCGTGCGCCTTCTTGCTCGTGGCACCTGCGGTTAAAGCTGCTAAGTGGTCCTGGTACGCATCCTCGAACATGTGCCCCGGGCATGCTCGGTCGCTAGCCTCGACGCCCGATGGTTCCGTCTTCCACACTCTCTCTCCGATGCGACGGCTTTGTTCGTACTCCTGAAGTCGGACACTGTTCTTCGCTCGGCCGTTCTCCGAAGCTTTCACCTTGGCTTTCGCCGAGGCGACCCACTTCTCGCCGAGGCTGTCGTCTTCTTTGGCCGATTGGAGCAGTTGTTGAAATTTCCCACCAGGGAGCTTCAGTGGAGGCAGATCTTGCTCCTCCTCCGAAGCGTCCGCCTCGCTCAGATCGTCTGCCGCCTTGCCCGACGACGCCATCGTATTCAAGAGGAAACTCTGGATGAGTGTCGCCGCCGCTTGGCTGACCACGTTCCCGCGCACGTACTCGTCCCAAGCGTTCTCCCAGGATGCGCTGTCCAGTGCCGATTCCGTCCCTGTTGTCGATGTCTTCTTTGTCAGTCTGGACGAAGCTCGAACTTGCGGCGACTGGTGGTGGGCCTCCTGCCATTGCCGCAGTACCGCTGACTCCATCCCCAACATACTCAGGTGAGGCACAGACGCGTCCCCTCCATAGAGCGTCCAGGGGCGGAAGAAGAGACTGCAATACTGAGCGTTATAGGTAGAGGTTTTGTTCACGCTGGGCATCGGCAAGCCTTCGATGACCACCACGTCCGGCCTCGCGAGGAGCGCAAGGGTCACGAGCCCTGACAAACAAGATGGTTTGCGAAGACCCTCCTCGCTCAGGCGGTGCCTCCCTGGAGGAGCGGGAAGGGCACAGAACCTGATCAATAACATGGTTTGCGAATGCCCTCCTCGCTCAGGCGGGCCTCCCTGGAGGAATGTGTGGGGGGGGGGGTCACGCAACCTGATACATAGCATGGTTTGCGAATACCCTCAGGCGGGGCCTCCCTTGCGGAGTGGGAGTGGGAAGGCCTAGCTGGCGTGGCCTGCCTGGAGTGGTAGGCATGGTACGGTAGCCGTGGCATGGTAGGTATGGTATGGTATGGTATGATAGGTATGGTTTGTGATGGTAGGTATGGTATAGTAGGACATGGTATGGTAGGTATGGTTTGGTAAGGTAGGGTGTGTATGGTAGGTGTGGTAGAGATGGTATGGTAGGTGTGGTATGGCAACTGTGGTATGGGAGGTGTGGTACTGGTATGGCATGGTAGGGTGGGTATGGTATGAGATAATGTGTGGAGGAGGAGGAGGGAGGGTGGAGGATTAGGAGAAGGAGGCGAAGGAGAAGAAGTGGGTGTTCTAATACTGCAACGCCCACTCATGAAGCGGGAACAATAACCACACTCAAGAAGTGGGGCAACAGAAAGAGAGGAATAACGGAGGCGTGAAGGAGGAGGAGGAGGAGGAGAAATAAGGAGACGCGACCACAGTGCTCTTGCCAAAACGAGAAGCCAACGAACGAGGGTTGGGAAATAGTGTCCCCTCCTCCCCATCCTCCGCCTCCGCCTCCCCCTCCCCCTCCCCCCCCTCCTCCTCCCCTCCTCCTCCTCCTCCTCCTCCTCCTCCTCCTCCTCCTCCTCCTCCTCCTCCTCGTCCTCCTCCCTCCCTCCCCTCCCTCCCTCCCCTCCCCTCCTCCCTCCTCCCTCCCCCCTCCCTCCCTCCCTCCCTTCTCCCTCCCTCCCTCCTCCTCCTCCTCCTCCTCCTCCTCCTCCTCCTCCTCCTCCTCCTCCTCCTCCTCCTCCTCCTCCTCCTCCCCCTACAACTCAAGGTGGAACGCGCGTCCCCTGGGAGGGGGTCCAGACCCCTGGTGGGTCCACACCGCGGAACAGAGCACGACGCCAGGCGTCTGGGATCCTACAACTCAGGGTGGAACGCGCGTGCCCTGGGAGGGGGTCCAGAGACCCCTGGCGGGGCCACGCCGCGACACAGAGCACGACGCCAGGCGTCTGGGCTCCTACAACTCAGGGTGAAACGCACGTCCCCTGGGAGGGGATCCAGACCCGTGGCGGGGCTACGCCGCGACAGAGAGCACGACGCCAAGCGTCTAGTCTGTGGAACGCGCGTCACCCGGGGGACTCCTGGCGGGGCCACGCCGCGACACAGAGCACGACGCCAGGCGTCTGGGCTCCTACAACTCAAGGCGGAACGCGCGTCCCCTGGGAGGGGGTCCAGACCCCTGGCGGAGCAACGCCGCGGAACAGAGCACGACGCCATGTGTCTGGGCTCCTACAACTCAGGGTGGAAAGCGCGTCCCCTGGGAGGGGATCCAGACCAAGGGTGTGGGCACGCCGCGACACAGAACACGACGCCAAGCGTCTGGGCTGTGGAACGCGCGTCCCCTGGGAGACCCCTGGCGTGGCCACGCCGCGACACAGAGCACGACGCCGGGCGTCCGGGCTCCTACAACTCAGGGTGGAACGCACGTCCCATGGGAAGGGGTCCAGACCCCTGGCGGGGCCACGCCGCGACACAGAGCACGGCGCCAGGCGTCCGGGCTCCTACAACTCGGGGTGGAACGCACGTCCCCTGGGAAGAAATCCTGACCCGTGGCGGGCCACGCCGCAACACAGAGCACGCCGCCAGGCGTGTGGACTGTGGAACGCGCGTCCCCTGGGAGACCCCTGGCGGGGCCACGCCGCGACACAGAGCACGACGCCAGGCGTCTGGGCTCCTACAACTCAAGGCGGAACGCACGTCCCCTGGGAGGGGGTCCAGACCACTGGCGGGGCCACGCCGCGACACAGAGCACGACGCCAGGCGTCTGGGCCCCTTGTAGGACATCGGCATTCAAATCATTGATTGGGCAGTCTTCCCTTCTCTGGAAATCAGATCTGACGTGATTTTAGTGTTTGACGAATTTTCTGTTACAGAAATACATCTCGCCCACGCTGCGACACAGATCACGACGCCAGGTGCCTGGGCTCCTGGCAGGACATGGGGCCTCCTGGTCGCTTGGCCTTCGGGGGCGGGGGGAGCCCTCGCCCGCGGCCTGCACGCGGTTCGGTCGGCCAGGGTGGCTGCCGAGGTGGAGGTCGTGTTTGAACGGTGCTGGCCTGCTGCTTCCCGGGGGAGGATTCTGGGATTCTGCCGCGGCGGCGCATGTCGTTGACTAGCGCCGTGCGGTGGGCCAGGGTAGAAGGCCTGGCAGGAGGGGTGTCTTCGGCACCCAAACTGTAGGGGCCACCTGCAGTGGGTGAATTAGAGCAGCCGGCCCGCCACTGTTATGACACAAGGAATGGCCCGGTGTCAGTCAGAGTCGGAAGAAACCAACGCGGGGAGGAGCCTGCTGTCAGGCTCCTGTCGGAGCTGCGCCGCCTCCGCGCTTGACACTGTCACATTTGATCGCTGCTCGAGCGTGGAGGCATTGTTGGGCCTGGGAGGGGCAGAGTAACACGACGACGCCCCGACGGGACGACAAACACCCTCCACAGGCCCAGGTCTCACAGGCTCGGCGCCGGGAGGATGGGGAGGAGGAGGAGGGGGAGGAGGGAGGAGGAGGAGGAGGAGGAGGAGGAGGAGGAGGAGGAGGAGGGAGGAGGAGGGGCTGGTGGAGGCCTGGGAGGATGGGGAGGAGGGAGGAGGCGGAGGAGGCGGAGGAGGAGGAGGAGGAGGAGGAGGAGGGGGAGGGGGAGGGGGAGGGGGGAGGAGGAGGGGCTGGTGGAGGCCTCCCCCCCCCACCACCTCGAAAGAATATGCGTGGGGAGCAAGAAGCACGGGGGGCGACCGAGGGTGGCAGGAAAGTGGCACCCCAGGGGCCCTAAACTGACACCGCGGCCCCCCCAAACTACGTACTGGGAAGGTGTATAACCTGCCTCACCTTTGGTAGTATGCCCTGGGCGATTATTTTCAGCATTTTCAGCTCGGCGTTTAGGAAATCCCGTTCTCAATGTTTTCACGTCTGGGCAAAAAACGACACGCTGAAAACAAGGCTTCGTGAATCAGCGTTTCCAGGTCTGGTGTTTTTCATCGTCGGAGCCCGCCTTGGATGGGCCGGTGGCTCCCAAGCCGATGTCGCACCAGTGTGAGACTGGTGTCATAGCTTGTTTGTTGTTGTGCTGTGTCGTAGCTGTTGTATGTTGTTGCTGATGTGCGTTGATCAGCTTTGCACACGGAAGCCAGTTTCAGCCCCCGCCCCGCATATGGACGTTGCGACGAAACAGGCAACGCTGAAACAACCACTTCTACACGCTTACAACAACTGAAGCGTGCTGTTCAACATGTTCGATCTGTCAAGAGCCCGAATATGAACACGCAAAACACATCAAAGCGCGTTCATTCTGAACAAAGATGTACGTGTCTTAACCTCCTGATTAGTTCCTCCCCGTTGCTGCCCGCCGGAACAGCCTCTCTCTCTTTCTGTCTCTCTTTCTCTCTTTCTCTCTCTCTCTCTATCTCGCTTTGTATTTCTCATATGCCTGTCTGTCTCCATCTCTCTGTCTGCCTGACTGTCTCTCTCTCTCTCTCTCTCTCTCTTTACGTCGCTCTCTCGCTCTCTATTCCTCTCCCCATGCGCCAACTCTGAGTATACGCATTATCCTATGCCTGACCCCCGCTCGCGACACACTTACCTGAGGCACCACCTTCTGCCCTGACAACTCCAAAAGTAGGCACTGCCAGAGAGCTCCTTGCGGTACTCCCTCGCATACCTGCGCTCGGCCAAGTACAGGCGACCTGCCCCGTCACCCCAGCAGAGGAGCTCCGACTGGTCATGTTGGCACGCGAGTCTCGAGAAGCTCGACACAGACGCGGCAAGGCAACAGCACGAACAACACAAACAACAACAACAACAACAACAACAACAACAACAACAACAACACCAACAACAACAACAACAACAACACCAACAACAACAACAACAAAATCAACAACAACAACAACAACAACAACAAAACCAACACCAACACCAACAACAACAACAACAACAACAACAACAACAACAACAACAACAACTACTCCGACGGTAGGACCCCACATGAGAATATGTTTAGCTTACCTGTTGCCCTTTCCTCCTCCTCCTGGCGGACACCCTCTCCTCTCGCCCCCTGCACTGCCCTCGTTACACGTTGCGGATGACCCGCTCGGATTCGAACATGAAGCGCGGGCCCCATAGGGAGGGGGCTCCCGCCTGAGACTTCCTCGCAATTCGCTCACAGACGAGGCTCCCGCTCGAGACTTCCTCCATACTCAGGTCTCAAGAGCCCAAAAGTGACGACAGTTGCACGTTGCGAAGACCCGCTCGGATTCGAACATGAAGTGCGGGCCCCATAGGGAGGGGGCTCCCGCCTGAGACTTCCTCACAATTCACTCACAGACGAGGCTCCCGCTCGAGACTTCCTCCATATTCAGGTCTCAAGAGCCCAAAAGTGACGACAGTTGCACGTTGCGAAGACCCGCTCGGATTCGAACATGAAGTGCGGGCCCCATAGGGAGGGGGCTCCCGCCTGAGACTTCCTCACAATTCACTCACAGACGAGGCTCCCGCCTGATACTTCCTCCATATTCAAGCCTCAAGAGCCCAAAAGTGACGACAATTACACGTTTCGGATGACCCGCTCGGATTCGAACATGAAGTGCGGGCCCCATAGGGAGGGGGCTCCCGCCTGAGACTTCCTCGCAATTCACTCACAGACGAGGCTCCCGCTCGAGACTTCCTCCATATTCAGGTCTCAAGAGCCCAAAAGTGACGACAGTTGCACGTTGCGGATGACCCGCTCGGATTCGAACATGAAGTGCGGGCCCCATAGGGAGGGGGCTCCCGCCTGAGACTTCCTCACAATTCACTCACAGACGAGGCTCCCGCTCGAGACTTCCTCCATTCACTTCCAGTCACATATTCAGGCCTCAAGTCAGCGAGTAGTGATGATGATGATGATCGTTCGATGCCGATGATGGTGAGTGATCGTGGGATGGTGATGGTGATGCTGATGGTGATGATGATGATGAGTGGGGAGTGATGGTGATGGTGATGATGATGCGGAGGAGGAAGCAAAGAGGAGCAGAGGAGAGGGAGGAGGAGGAGGAGGAGATCCTGCGCGGAGGGTGTGCAGAGAAAACAAGAACCCCACTTAGGATGTGGGGAACAACAACAACAACAACAACAACAGCACAACAACAACAACAACAACAATCATTTAGACTGGGGACACTCCGTTCTCACCAGTGCCAGGGTTTTCATAGGAGGCGGGCAATACCCCCACTTTGTGGGGGGGCCGGTTCAAGCTCTACCAAATTTCCAAACGACTCTTCGCCACCACCCACACCCAGCTTCCCGCCCTATGACGTTCGGACACTTCACTTCGTGGCATGCGGACGACCGTGGCTACTATTCAGGGCCCCGCGGCCGACGACGACGGCGTGCGCGCGCGAAGAAAAAACGAATGTGTCCCGCATGGTATTATTTGACAGGGATGATGGCCCTGGCAGGTGCGCAACCGTTGTCGCAGAAGTTCGAAAAAGTTGCTCGCAAAAGCCCGTTTGACAGAAATGTTTAAAAAGTGTTGGGTTTCCTACGAATCCGCAAGAGCGCGCGGGATGAGATTTTGACAATTTTTTGTTGAAAAACCATTGGTTTTTTGATGTTTTTATGTTAAAATCGCTGCGAACACTAAGGTTTTGGAAGGATTTCGTCTTGCGCGCGCGAATGTCCACTTTACCTTATTTTTTGCAAGGGATTCTTGAAATTTGATTATATTAGAACAAGAAATGTCATTTTCTATTGTTTTTTGCAAGGGAAAGCGGATTACAACAAAACAACCGGATCCTGTACACACCCTCTTTTCTGAGGCTTCCTCACGAAAATGATGAAAATGTAGCTGCGGCCTAGGCGGCGCAGGGGGGGCGCGCACCAGGGGGCCCAACAATAATTATTCTTTAGAATAAATAATGTTCAACAACAACAACAACAACAACAACAACAACAACAACAACAACAACAACAACAACAACACCAACACCAACAACAACAACAACAACAACAACAACCACAACAACAACCACAACAACAACCACAACAACAACAACAACAACACCACCACCAACAACAACAACAACACCACCAACAACAACAACAACAACAACACCATCAGCACCAACAACATCAGCAACATCAACAGCAGCAGCAACAACAACACCGACACCGACACCAATAACAGCAACAGCAACATAACAACACTACACGCCAGGTAAACACTTATTGAGTAGGAAGGTGTCCAGCATAGATTTGTTTTGGGCCTGGCCAAAACACCAAAAGACTACCCAAACAGAGCCAACACTGTACCAATGCCTTGCCCCTGCCTGCGAAAGACCCACGCGGCCGCGGAGATGCATCCACGAAATCGCGAATACGCCTCCACGTTTGCCAGAACCTCTTCCGGAAGCCCCACTACTTCCATGTGTTCGGAGGTGGCAAGATGCCCCAAGACAGGATGCCCGCCGCCGTGAGCCCCGAGCCCCCGATGGGAGTCGCTGCGGCCGAACGCGTGGATCACATTCGGGGGATGGACAGACCCCCCTTTAGTAAAACGTGGTGCAGTGAAGACGACTTCGGGCGCAGACCCGGCGGGCGCAGGCCTGGAAGATAACGGCCACGACGCCCTCTCTGAAGGGGAATTGGAACACACAAATAAATACACACAAATAAACATATTCCCAATACTTTCCTATATTTTCTGAGTTTTTGTCTTCCCCCCCACTGCCCATATTTTCTCATATTTTCTGGGAATCGCCGATTAATTGTGTCTGTGTGTTTTTCCCCCTCCTGACTCTCGAGAACCGAAGACGGACAGTTCACTAATCGACGTGTCGCTGTTGGGGCTTCTGTCCACCCCCGACATATACGGCCGGGGGCCCTTTGTGCAGCGCGTCGCGGCGGCGGCTCTTGTCGCGACGCGCTGTGCCTTGCGGAGGGGGAACAGGTGTAGCTCCGCTCCGCGGGGCGGGAGGCCGGGAGAGGCTCAGGACGCCGACGCGTGGGAAAAGGGGGGCGTGGCTGGCGTGTCGCGCCGAAACGCGGTGGGCCACATCGCGGGCGCGGCAGGCTGCGCCGAGAATGCTGAAAAAAAGGGGCCCTGGGACACACGAGTAAATACAAGCAAATAGCCAGATTCTCTATAGTTTCCCATCTGTTCTGGGCCTTCGTCTTCCCCCCCCACTTCCCATATGTTCCTCTATTTTCTAGGGAATCGACGATTAATTGTGTCTGTGTGTTTCTCTTTACCTCCTGAAATGCGGCGAACTCTTCCCGCGCGCTGGAGCCTGACCTGCGCCGCGCCCCGCAGCTCTGCGAGGGCAATCGGCGGGGGCGGCGAGCCTGGGGGGCGCACCTGCGGCCGCCGCCGGAAGACTCCTGAATCGGCCCCCTCGTCCTTCGTGGGCGAAGAGCATGATTCTATCCGCGACCTCGCGGGCCAAACCCACGGGCCGCGACCCAGCGGATGCCCCGCGCGGCACGTAGTACGACCGCGTATCCGGGGGATCGCGCCGTGGAACCCACGCCGCGAAGACGCGGATGCGGATATGCTGGCCGCTCGAGAGCCCCAGCTGCCAGTCCTGGCACCCCGCCACCACGTGGCCGACGACGAGGCACTCCAGGAGCGCATTCACCGTCTGAAGGGCGCCGCTCCAGCGATCCCCTGTCGTCGCGTCGCAGGGTGGCCCGGCGACAACTGCTCATAAAACGCCAGCCAAGGCGCGCGGGCCCCGCGGGGCGGGCCCCAGCGGGCGCGCGACCCAGCCCGTCCACTGGGGCTTCAACGAGTCCCGCCGGCGGGGCGAAGTCCCGCAGTGGGAGCGGACGGCGCTCCACACCCTGCCGAACACCCTCCTGCGCGACAGCGGCCTAGCCGACCGACCCCCGGGGAGCCGCGGAGCCGCGGGGGCCCGCTCGACGATGGTCATCCTCCGCCGCCATGAGCAGGAGTGCGGGCGCCTGGCGGAGCGGGTCGGGCCGCCGCCGCCGCCGCCCCCGCCCCCTTGCCCCCCGCCGCCCGGAGCGGCAGCCCCGGCGACGGCCCGCGGGCATCCGACGGCGGCGTCCGCGCAGCAGCAGCGGCAGTGGCAGTGGCAGCGGCGGGCCCAGCTGCAGTAGCAAGAGGAGTCCCACGGGGAGATCCCCAGACGACCCCTCGACGCGGAGCGGGTGGGGGATGCTTGCTGTTCTGCGAAATCCACGACAGAGGATGCGGATGAGGAGTGCTGACTCGCGCGCTGCCGCCGCGCGCGTCGATCGCGTCGCGGCTGTCCGACCCGCCCGATGGGTTCTTAATCCCGATTAATGCCCCATCGGAACTGCGGAGCCCAGGAATTGCGGGGGCAGGAACCCTCCCCTGCAAATAATTACGGTCGCATAGAAACTCAAGGCGATCTTGCCGCAAGCGGCGGAAAGACGGCCGAAGAAGGCTGCGGAATTTGCGCGGGCGCAAGCGCTGCCGACATGTGGGCGTCGACGGCGGGGAACTTGGTGATGGAGACTTGGAATCAGACCTGGTTGGCATAAAACTTGAAATGAGATTTGGCGAACTCGTAGTCGCCCAGCTTGGAATGGGACTTGGTGGGGGCCCAGCGCGCCGATGCATCGACGTCGACGTCGTCGATCTGCTCGCTGGTGGGCCGGGCCTGTCGCGCCAGTTGGAAACAACGCTCGCGCGCGACCTCGCCCGACGCGTGGGCCGCCCTC